CAATATGCAATATGAGACATAAATTTTTTTTTTTTTTTTATTTTCTTCTAATTTTTATTCATTATGTTTTTCATTATTATAAAATTTATATTGTTATTATTATTATATGTTTTATTTTTCTAATTGAATATATATTTATTTTTATTATTTTTTTTATTAGAGACTTTAATTGTCTTTATGTTCTTGCCACTTATTTTATAGTTTGATTAATTCCTAAATCTATTCATTTTCATCAATATTACTTAATTTGATTTATTTGTAATCTTTTTAATTTCATTTTCATATTAATTATTATAAGTTTTACCATCTTGTTAAATATGTTAATTTTTATTTTCTTATGGAATATTTTAAATGTTAATTTATTTTTAAATATTTTAAATTTTACTTTCTTATTGTATTATTTTAAAAGTCACATTGATGTGGAATATTAGATAATTTATTTTGTTATTAATTATTTAATAATTTTGTTGCCTATTGGTTATTTAATATTTTACTTTCTTAATGAATATTTTAGATATTACTTTCTTGTGGAATACTAGATAATAAACTTTCTTATTAATTATTTATTAATTTACTTGTTTATTAGTTATTTTATTGAATATTTTAAACATTACTTTCTTGCGGAATACTAGATAATTTGCTTTCTTATTAATTATTTAATAATTTACTTGTTTATTGATTATTTAGTATTTTGCTTTCTTATTGAATATTTTAAAGGTTATTTTGGTGTGGAATAGTAGATAATTTACTTTCTTATTAATTATTTAATAATTTAGTTGCTTATTGGTTATTTAAAATTTTACTTTCTTATTGAATATTTTAAATTTTATTTTCTTGTGGAATACTAATTAATAGACTTTCTTATTAATTATTTAATAATTTAGTTGATTATTGGTTATTTAATATTTTACTTTCTTAATGAATATTTTTAATATTACTTTCTTATGGAATACTATAAGATAATTTACTTTCTTATAAATTATTTTTTTATTTTAGATAAATTTAATTTCTTATTAATGTATATTTTCATTTTTTTAAATTTATTCTTGCGACTTAATTTATTATTTTTCTTGACTTTATTAAACTTTTGTTTATACATTTTCCTCTTATTAGAAATTATTTTATATATTTGATTTATTTTGTTTTTAATACTCATTACTATTAAATTATATTTATTAACTTTCTTATTTCTTATTATTTCCATCGTCTGTAATTTGTAAACTAATTAAAGGATATACTTATTTCTTCATATCATTAAAAGAAATTTATTTATTAATAAAATTTTGTAATACACTAATTATTTATAAACAAATTTCTGAATCATTAAATAGTACTTCTTATAAATTAATATTTATATTTAAATCTTCGCTTATTATTTAATCTGTATAATCTGAAAATTCACTCATTTGTAAAGAACAAACTTATATAATATCAAGATCATACTATTTTTCATTTGATTATTCCAAAGTTTCTTTTAAAAGTTACTTTATGCCTTTAAATTCTTTTAGTTTTTCACCAATTTCCATTTCTAAATTTTAGGTTTCATTGCCTTTTGTTGTTTACATTGGCTGGTTATTTATTTTTTATTCTTTGGATTGCTCTGTTTATTTACTTTTTTCTTCTTCTTTTTTTACTTTTTACTCGTAAAACTCCATTTATAAATTTTTATTTATCTTCAGGTTTATATGATTATAACTTTTTTATAAAATTTAATATATTTAATATAAAATAATTTTTTACTTTTTCTGGAAATTTAACGCCTTCTTTTTTCAATTTGTTTTAAATAATTATAAATTTAGAAGGCTAAGTTTCATCTAATATATCATGAGGAAACCAAATTAACCACATAATGAAATCTTCGAGAATATTAATATAAAAAGTGTTTGAAATAAGTTCTTCTTCTGCATTAGGATTTGCTTTTAAAATAATTTTTGGGTTTTTAAGTTTTAAATATTAAGCAAGTTTATTTAAAAATTCGCCTTCTTATACATAATACGTAAAATCCAGATTTCCTACTTACATACATTAACGTAATAAATGAACGGCTCCAAGTCTTGCGAATGGTTTATTTTAATCATTATGTATTATTTCTTAGAGATTTGCTAGTAAATTTGATATTATGTCAGTGTTTTTTCTTTTAACTTTTCGACGTATATTTTTGATTCATTCCATCTTTGACGATTTTCTAAGATTTGGGTTAATGTTTAAGTATCCATTTTTTTAGTTATTTTATTTTTATTTTAATATTATTGTTATTAATTTTTATTTTATAATATTTCTTAAATGTTATATTTATTATATTTTTTATTATTAAAAGCTTAATAAAGTTAATATTTATATTTTTACAACATAAATTTTAACAAATAATATTAATATTTTTTTATATAAATTATTTAAAAAAAGACAGTCTTATTATTTTAATTATTTAATAAGGCTTGTATTTATTATTAAAGACTATAAAAGTTAACTATTATATTTTTAAAATATTTAAACTTTAACAAATAGATTTATAATTAGAAATTATTAAAAAAAGGTTATGTTTATAATTTTTAATAAAATTATAAATTTTTCGAAATTTTAATAAAGGAATACAAAAAAATATATATTTTATAAAATCTTATTTTTTTAACTAAATACTATTTTTTCATAAATCTTCTGAATCTATTTTAAGTCCTCCTTTGTTCTTTAAAAAAATATAATAAACATACATTAAAAATAATTATATATTTTTTAATTTTACTAAAGGAACTTTCTTATTATTAACAGTTACTATATTATCGTATTAAGAAATATTTTCCATATCAACCCCTAAACAAGCCTTTAAAAATAAATTAAATTTGAAAAAAATTATTACGAAATATAAAAAAAATTACTTTTGTTTAAACATTACAAAGTTCATGTTCCATTTCTTCATTATTACCTCTATTTAATAAAGCTTTTTCTACAGTTTCTTCCCATGTCTTTATTTTCAAAAAAAATATTAAAGATTTTATAAATATTTTTAAATACTCCCATAAAAGCTTAACATCCTTTAACCATATCAGGTGGAGGGAATTCATAAACTGCAAAATTATTTTATCTACAAATTCCATCAATTGCATATGCAATCTTTGTATTATTATTAATAAAATTATATACATATATATAATATTATATTTTTTACATCGGATTCTTTACGAGAATCACGTATTTTTTTAAAAATTTCCTTAAGGACTGCTTAGCAACTATTGCAATATAATTCTGGCTCGATAGCAGAAGGTCTTTTGCCCGAATTTTTCGAAGGTTTTTTTCTGCATTCAAACAATGAAATTGATATAAGTATAAATATTATGAATTTCATTTTTTTATTTATTGTAATAAATTAAAAAAGATATATATAATTTAAAATATTTTTTAAAAATCTTTAAAATTAAAAACTAATAACTAATTATATATTGTTTATTTTTAGTTTTTATATAAAAAAATTACATGCTTTAACAATATTGATTCAATAAAATCAATTTTTTTAATAAAACTCAAAAAGTTTTTTTTCTTCAATTTAAGGATTTTCTGGAAAAATAATTTATTTTTCACTATTAGAAATAAAATTAAAAACATCATTTATATTTGCTAATTTTTTAGTTTTTTCTGAATAAGTTTTTTATTAATTTTACAAAAGAATACAATTTTCTGTACATTCTTTTTTTAAATTTTAAGCATACTGATTATTTAAATTATTAAAATCATTTTCTAAAATAAAAAAAAAACCAAAATAATTCTTTCCAAATATATTTTTAAGTCTTTTAGCCACATAATTAATATCTTAACTAAATTTTCGATCAAATAAATACATAAAATATATTATTTTAAATTTATTATTTTTTTAAAAAATAAAATCACCCTTTATATAATTAAATTCCACCAAATACTGCACAGCGAACATTTTTAAATTTTTTTCTTTAAAATTCGCATATTTTTCTTATATATCCAAAAGAGAAAGTGAATAATAATCATCAATAAATTATTTTAAATTTTTTTTATTAATTTCCAAAGAATCTACTGGAAAAGCAATCTTGGAAATATAATCAATGCGGAAAAATGCTATTTAAGGTAAAGGAGCATTGTCTTAAATGCCAAACATTTTTTTCTTTTCCATATTTAAATTACCCTCCACCCATAAAAAATAAAGCTTCTTATGAAAATAAGTTTTCCCTAAATCTTCCAAAAGAACCAATAAATTACCGCTTTTTTCAATTTCGACAATAGAATCGATTACTGCGACTAATATGTGTTATTTTCCCTCATAAACTGGATAATTTTCCATTGTAAATTCATCACAAAGCTTTAAAGAGGTATTTTTAATTGTTTTTTTTAAGTCTTTCATGTCCACTATGATATCGCTTAAATCAATAACTTCATATAAAAAATCTCTTTTGATTACTATTGAATTAAGTGAAATTTAATCAAACCATTTTTCTTTATATTTTTCCTTTGCTTTTAGAATTTATTGTCTATCTTATAAAATACTGAAATATAATTCACTTCGCGCTAATAATTCTATAGAAACTTTTTTAAAATGATTTATTTCTTCAAACATTTCTTCTTTGTCGTAAAAAATACCGATTATTTAGACTGTTTCTATATTATTATTTTAATCATCTTTTTCCATTTCTTTTTTTTAAATATTTTTTTCTAAATCTGGTAATGTATTGAAAATTTAAAAAAGATATTTTATTCTTTCTAAAAATCTTCGAATTCGGGTTATATCTAATAAATCATAATATATATGATATTATTTTAAGCTTTCGAAGAAAATAATAAAAGGAAATCGCTTTATTTGTTAAAATTTTGTTTAAAATTCTTTGTTTTCTTATAATTCAATCCTTCCAAGTTTTATATTTTGAAAATTTTTTTAAATTATTTTCTTTATTCGGACAAATTTTTATTCATAAATGCAGCAAGATAAACAAGATTTTAATGTTGCGATTAATAAAATTTGGTTGTTTTGAAAATTTATGTGTATTTTTATCACCGATATATATATCAGAAACTGAATATATGGATAATTTTTATTACAATTTTTATTTAGAAAATTTTGAGGCAAGTTTATTGAATTTAATAAGGTTAGTATGAAATATAATATAATTATTTAAAATATTATATTCATGATAAATTTTATTATATGTATATGTTATGATAAAATAAATAAATATCTGATATTTATCTTAATATTAATAAATACAAAATGATAATATTTTTAGGTAATGTAACAATTTATATAATTATATTACTATCAATAAAATACTAATATTTAAATATTTTTTATTTATAAAAAAGCCTATTTCAATTAATAAATGATTTATGATCTATTAATCTATTAATATTAAATAGTTTCTTAACATATAATTTAAATAATAATATTTATTAATATAGCATCTTTTTTTAATTTTAAATTTAATTAGAATATTATTTTATAATTAAAATAACAAATAAAATTGATATGTTTATTAAGTTTTTATTTGCATTTAATAGGAATCTGCAATTGATAATGTTTCTAGGTTTGGGTTACAGAAGATATGTAATTTATTTATCTTTTAAAAGTATTATTAAATAATTTAAGTTTGGCAATAAAAGATTCGGAAATTAAGTTTTTTAAAAATAGGAATTGATTTAAATAAATAGATAGATGGGTTTTTGATAAAATCTATGGATTGAATTTATTACTTTTACCTATTGGAAAACTATTTTTTATCGAAAACATCTTTGGATTAAGATTTAGATAAAGAAATTTATTATTTCAATATGAAGCTAAAAAAACTAAAGTGTTATGTTCATTAATTTATGTTTGATGAAGAGAATCGAATATTAATAATTAAAAATAACCCATGAATCTAATCTGTTAGTAAACATTTTTAATTTAAATATGAATAAATTTAAAATAAAATAATTAAAACCAAAAGTTTAATAATAAAGTATCATTTTATTTTATATGAAAAATAAAATTATAAATAGTTTGTTTATTTTCTGTTATATTTTAAATTATTTTTCATTAAAAACTAATTTTAATTTTGTTTTATTTTAAAAAAAAATTCTTAATTTATAAATTTTGAATTATTCATTGTTAATAAATATTACTAAAGTTATAAGAGTTTATTTATTTATATATATATATGACAAATTATTGGATTCATATATATTTTTTTATTTTTTTGCTATATAATTTTTTAATAAATTAATCGAAAAAAAAGACAATAAAATTTTTCTCGTATTTTTTGATTTATTATTTTATAAAAGATTATGAATACAATAGAAAAAATTTAATAAAATATAATAAATATCATATTTATTTATTAATAGATTTTAATTTTTTAAATTTTTAAGGAGAAACAGGTTCAAGAAAACTATTATTATTTCTTATATTATTTTTTGTAAGAGAAAAATCTTTGTTTGCCGGCGATAATTACTATTTTCTTAATTTAACTGGAGTATTGTCATTTATATGCAAACTATCTCTTTTAAAAATTATATTTTAGTCAACCTATTCGCAAGTAATAATATTCTAAAAAATTCCTGTCCCCATCAAATAAGTTACTGGTCTGTTTTAATTTTTTTATTCAATTACATTTGCGTTTTATAATTTGAAGTCTTAAAATACTTTCGTTTTAACGTTATTTAAGTTTTTTTTTGACCTTCTTTTTACTAAATTAGATTATTTTTCAATACTTTTTTATTCACTGTTATTTAAGTTTTTTTTTGTGCTTTTTTTTAGTATGATAGATTATTTTTCAATACCTTTTTCTGAATTTTATCCTAATATTGTTTATTCTTTATTTGAAATTAAAGGGGCAATTTATTTTTTATATTTTATTCTTTAAATTAATTAGATTATAGATAATATTAAGGTTATAAAAATGGTAAAAATCAACATAAAAAATTAAGCCCAAATTTATTAGTTAGCTTTCTTTTCCAAAATTCCGTTAACGCTTTCAATTATTAAATCGTTTATTAAGATTGTATTATCAATATAATTACAAAACATCCGCTATGTAAGATATTTTTAATATTTTCTAATTTATCTGAGTGAGGGAGCGTGAAAGTACTCAAAAAATATAAAATCTGACAAATTATAATTGTTAAGAATTGAATACTTGCTTACTTGTTGCTCCCAATAATGCAAACAATGCTTAATATAAATTAATTTAGGAAAGAAAATATGAAATAATATTATTTTCTTTATATATTTTCATGATATTCATATTTAAAAGCACTTAAAAAGCCTTTAGTTGAGCAATATTTGTTAATATTTTTTCTTCTTAATAAAATTATTCTGAATAAAAAACACATAAATGATAAATAAATAATTAATAGATATGCGCAAAAAGTTTCTAAAGAAAACATGTTTTAGGCCTTAGAAGCTACTTCTATTTGTAAAATGCTAGAAAAAAAAATTAGATAAGAAAAAAAATCATGAAACTATATAAATTTCATTTACATTCCTTTGTTTATTTTATACCAATTTAATTTCTTTAATTAATCACTATTAATGATATTTCGTTACCTTCTTCTTTGAAATTTTTGGCTTTAAAATTTATAAATGCTATAACTAATATAAATATTAATAATAATATAATACTTCCTCCTCCATTTTAAAATAAACTATTTCCAATATTTTCAAAAAGTAATCTATTATAAACTTATTAATTATCACTTCCTGGAAAATTAACATTTTTAAAAAAATTAATATAACTATATAAATGGGTTAAAGGATTAAATCTAGTAAGACTTCCTAAAAGTATATAATTAAGATAAAAAAAATTAATATTTAACAATTTAATATAAAAAACATTCAAAATAAAAGTTTATAATCTAAAACATTTAGTATATTTGTATTAATTGGAATATACGTTTGTAAAAAAATCAATAATAATAATTATTAAAATCACAAAACTAATTGCTTAATAAGTTCCTTCAAATTCTCCTTCTTTAAAAAAACTGCTTTTTAAAAATTTTGGAATTCCGCATTCTTTTTCTAAATAATTCTAAAAAGGAGGCAGACAACTACAATCAGTAGGATTTGAGCATGTTTTGCATTCGAAGGAACATTATAAGCATTTTTGATTTTCTTTTTAGTAGGCACATTTGGTGCATTTTTTGGGAGTTTCGGCACATGTTTCACACATATAAGCACATTTTTTACATTCAGAATTCGTTTTATCATCTGAAAAGCCATCAGGACAATCACATGAAGGTGTGTTTAGCCTGTTTTCAGCACATAATAAACAGTTATCGGCTTTTTAAGTGCAAGTTTTGCACTTAAAAGAACATAAGGAACATTTATTATTTACTAAATCTTCAAAGGTGCCTTCTTTACACG